ATTAATCCAATATGAAGATGAGTCTTTGTGGGAATTTAATAGAATGCTAGAAAAACTTACCTCCTTTTCACAAAGCAGCTTAAATTATTACAATTACATTCTAGCACCAAGGAGACAGGATTCAAACCCCATGTTGGTCACCATGGAAAACAAAAAATTCAGTTACTTTCCTACTTAAGTGATTACTCTTCCCCTCGTAGCTAGCTTCTGTATTATATCATATTTTTATTTGTTGGTGTGCATGAAGCTTTTGTATATGTAATTTGCTTTAAGATACTGTAATGACTAGGATCTATCAGCTCATCAAAGGAAGGTGAAATTAAATGTATAATTCTTTCTTTCCTCCCTAGTGTAAAATGCTACTATTGAATCAACAAGAGACTCTGGATTGAATGAGATTTGTGACAACTGTAATTTATATGTATATATAAATAAAAACAGGAGAAAAGGAATTAAATACCAACCAACAAAACGTGTCCCTAATCCCAAACACAATTATTATAACACCAAGGGGTTTAGTGCAAACTGTGACCCACTTTACTGCCATCAAGTCTTCTGCATGTTGCTTGCTGTAAACAGGCTTAAAAAGGCCCCGGGCCTCTGCCTTCACTTACATGTGTCCGTAGTGCCAGCCTCTCCCCTGTAGCTTGTATTCATAGGAGGCAGGTCACCAATACCTGGCAGAGGAGAGATGTCAGCTGGCCTTTTGCTTTTGCATTGGCACTTAATAATCCTTGTACTGGCAAAGAGCTGTGCAGTATATAAAAGGGAAAACATTCGCTGCCCCCAAAGATGGACAAGCTAAAACGCAGGCGCCTGGGAGATACAAAGGTGGGGATGTAATTTGGGGGGGGGGGGGGATGTCTTGTGGGGTTTTTTTAATGTTGCCCTTCAAATCCTCCTCTTCATTTCTAGTGAAAGGGGCCTCACTGCTGAGCTGGCCCCATGTAGCACTAGCATAGGGTCAAAATGTGTGCTCTGTACACAGTCTCACTTGGGAGTGGTGTGGGATTGCGCTGCCCCAGTGGAGGCTTTGAGTTGGCTGGTGCCTATGGTTCAATAAGCCCTGTGTCCATAGTGAATGTTGGCTTTGCTGTCATCACCCAAGTTTCTCACTTTCCATAGGTGACCTTTCAAACAGGCAGGTCTTGAGCTTGTGCCTAAATGCCCTTAACGGAAACCAAAGGTCAGAGTGGCCATGTTTGTGAGGCTCAGCGCTGCAGGTCCCTGGGTGCTGAATTATCCAGCTGGCAGAGCCCTCTGAAAGGAGGGAAACCAAGAACACTTTCAAAAGTGGCCCCTAGTTTTAATGGGTGGATGTGTCATTTTTTGGGTGCCCAGCTTGAGACACCCATGACATTTTAGAGGTGCTGAACATCTACAGCTCCCAGTGATCTCCATAGGCATTCTGGGCACTCTCTCTGAAAAATCAGTCCTCGTGTAGCTCTTGCGGGACAATTGAAACCTGATGCTTGCAAAATCTGTGGTCACTTTTGAATATGGTAGGCTTAGTGGCTAGCCCAGGGATCGGCAACCTTTGGCACGTGGCCCGCGGCCCGCCAGGGTAAGCACCCTGGCGGGCTGGGCCGGTTTGTTTACCTCCTGCGTCTGCAGGTTCGGCCGATCGTGGCTCCCACTGGGTGCGGTTCGCCGCTCCAGGCCAACGCGGGAAGCGGCGCGGGCCGAGGGATGTGCTGGCCGCCGCTTTCCACCGTCCCCATTGGCTGAGAACAGCGAACCGCGGCCAGTGGGAGCCGCGATCGGCCGAACCCGCGGACGCAGCAGGTAAACAACCTGGCCTGCCAAGGTGCTTACCCGGGGGGGCCGCATGCCAAAGGTTGCCGATCCCTGGGCTAGAGTCTTGTCTTTTCTTTAACAATATTAGTAAATATTACATAAAATTTCACGCCTTTCCATCCTGCTTTCCATACATCCATGCAGCACACGGAGGGACCATTTTGTTTGGCAAAATACAGGTCTGGTTCAAAGAACAGTTTAGGGACGATATGTTTAGTTCTCAAACTGTCAAAGAAATAGAACTGTTTAAAAGCTGTAGTAGAGAGAGGTCCTGAATGTTTCTGAATCTAATGCTGGAGTCTGTAGGAAAATCCAGCTTCTAAAATCCAATTGGGATTTTCAAAGTTTCTCAGCACTGGCCTAAATGCTCTCATTGCATGCAGTAATAAGACTCTCCCTGATTCAGTGGGAGCAGAGTTAGGCCAGTGCTGCATGTTTTTGAAAATCCCACCCCAAACTTCTGTTTAAAATAACTAATACAATTTCCAGAAAATCAACACACTGCGTGGAACAAGCTCTTTCCTTTTGCAACCTTTGCATAGGGGGCACCATTTACAGAATCTTTTTTAAGCAGAGACTACTTTTAATTTTGTCTCTCTGATTGTTCCTAATATTGTATATAGACATTCTGAAAGGTACAGGGGCAGGGAGGGAGTGTATGCACTAATTCTGCTTGTGTATGAATCTGCTTCAAATCTACTTCCTTTTCTGATGATAAAGATTTTTAACACATCAAAGTGATGTTTTTAAAAGGGTAGAGGGAGGTACCATAAACATTATTACATGAGAATGTCAAGCTCATCTCCAAATACAGACTAGCAAAAGGGCTTTTACAGAAAAGAGCCCCTACCTACTGTACTCACTGCTCATCCAATTTATACCAAATACAATGCAAAGCATTAACCAGATGCTTCCATTCCTGGCAGGACTACAAGGGGCTTTCAGTAGGTTCTTGACCAGATGTGCTATTGGTGAAGTATTCTTGGTGCTGATATTGTGCTGTTTGTCACCTTCACCTAACTTCCAGTGTTTGTCACCTTGCATCACTTTAAGCAGCACCAAAATACATTTACAGCCTGATAACATACTCAGAAATCTGTCCCTGCTCCCTTCTCCTTCCTTCTTAACCCCCAGTGACACTAAAGAATGCTGATTCTCAAATATTCTTGCATTTATCTACTCTAGTAAAGAAAAGGGGTAGGGAGGAGTGATGAATCACTGAGAGGTTTAAAGTTTTTCTCTTGTCTTTCCCAGCAGCTAGTGTGGTCTCAGGCCATGCTGTCTGGCCTAAGAGAAAAGGCTTTCAAAAATTTGTTAGGAGACCATGAGTTTGCAATGCACATACAGTCTTTGTGTCCACCCATAACAGCCATCCTAAGTGTTCTACATGTGCTGGTTGTGATACCTGGAATCTACATGAATCCAACTGAACTGGCGAAATCTGTATTGGTTTCTCCCCAGTGTGGACAGGAAGCTATAAGTGGTGTGGCTGTACTGGTTCAGCCAGTCTCCCCAATTTCATTGCACAGTTCGGTACCTTGTATTTGGAAATTACCCCAGAGTCTCTTCTCATAGCAATAGTACTGGGTGCTTTAGGAAAAGTAGCACTCTGGGAAATATAAGAAGGTTTCTGACTTGTGTCCTTCCCCTCCTATATCCAGTGATTAAACTAATCTTCAGAGAAAAAGCAGCAAGTTCTTCCTACTGTATTGTGGCTTTGCTCTGTCTTTATAAATGTTTCTAAACCTCTGTATTTCCACTTGCCAGTCACCCACTCCTCACTGGGGTCTGGACTCATTTTGCGACTGATGGGAGTTCTCAACCATTGCATTCAAATTAAAGCTGTCAGTCTAATAATTACCATTGAGGAGAAATCCAGTTCTAGCATAGAAAATTGATGATTTATTCCATGTGGAGAGAGAGTCCAATTCAATGAAACATTCAGACTTGCTTACTGTGTAAGCCTCTAATGCACCCTCTCCCTGTTGGGTGCCGAAGCTTGGCAGAATTTCTATCAAATCTAGTCCGACACGAGTCAGGTGATCCAAGCAGCTGGTTGGGAATTCTGGGTTACTTGCCTAGTGCCTTAAAGCTCCATGTTTATAATCTTATTTTGGTTCACAAAACAATCTGCGTGGTAAGAATTAAAAGCTTTTGTATTGGCATGAGCTTCTTTCCAGTTATATCTCTGCAAACCTTTGCTTTGTTGAGCTGATATTCCCAGTTAGTGTGGTGTCTTTGGGCAGTATCATTACATTATACATATGCAAAGAAAATGCCCCAGTTTTACTATGTTGCTGGTATAAATTATATTGATATGTAAAAAAAAAAGCAGACTAGATGGAACAAAGCAATCTATAATCCACAATAATTTGAAAGAGATCCTCCACTCGCTATCAGTGTATTGGAGCAGCACAGTGCAGAGTTATGCCTCTAGGGCCTGGTCTTGTATTCCTTACTGGGGGATGTTGGTGTGCGTTTGGAATTTGTACGGATTGCAGGGCTGCTCTTTGTGGACTTGTTAATGTGTGTTTGAAACTAGACAATTATCTTGGTCAATAGCTGAACATTTTAGAATATTTTGAATTTAAATTCAGACACTCCTTTTTTTTTTTTAAATTAAAAATGAGAGAGAGAGAGAGCATGGAGCAATATATCATTAGACTCGTAGTCCTGTGAAATGCTGAGCAACTATACTTCACGCTGTGCAGGTCTATGGAAGTTAAGGGGGTTCAGCACTTTGGTGGATCAGGTTAGAAGAGTATGTATCTGTCTGCCTCTTCCTCTAAACATACCAGCACAGTCGAATGCCCGTTGCTAAAGGCTAAGTTTATTAATTTGGAATGCATATGGGGACTTAGACCTTCACTTTGATTTATTATCCCACTAGACTCATGTTCCTATACTAGTTAAACTCTGTAAACTTCTGTTTCTGTAGATTTGCCTGAATTTTCCCCCATAACACAATAGGAGGGCAAAGTAATTTGATACTTCATCTGTTAATTAAAAAAAATACATTGGTATCATTCTGGGATCAGAAGCCATCTTATTGTCTTTAATTAGAGCAAAAGCCTAGCTAGTCACACTAGGCAATGAACCCTATCAGAGCCCGTGCTGTGGATTAGATCCCAGAAGTGCTAGAAACTTGGTTCAGCTGAATTGTACATTTTGTAGACTTAAACTCTACAGCATTTTTCTCATAGGTTAAGAGATACCAGTGCACCTTTGAGGGCTGCCCTCGCACCTACAGCACTGCTGGGAATCTGCGCACTCATCAGAAGACACATCGTGGGGAATACACATTTGTCTGCAATCAACAAGGTTGTGGCAAGGCCTTCCTTACCTCCTATAGTCTCAAGATTCATGTCCGAGTGCACACTAAGGAAAAGCCGTTTGAGTGTGATGTGCAGGGCTGTGAAAAGGCATTCAATACACTGTACAGGTAAGAGCCCTTCCATGCAGCTCTGTTGTCTTGCATGGCAGATGGTTACCACTGTTTTTCATATCAAATTCAGTTCTTGTTTGAGCACCCTGGCTGCAGTTTTTGGGAGTGGATCCTTCTCCCAGCTCCAGACCCAATCCTGCTATAGAATCTCAAATCCGCCTAAAGATCCTCTTCCATCAAAACCAAGAACTGGGAGAGCAGCATTTGTGACATTATCATTATTTGTGTTGCAGTAGAAGTAGTCCCCTTTGTGCTCAGCATTGTTCAAACACCTAGCGTTTTCGGACATTTTTGATTTGTGTACTGCACTCCTTTATAAATACTCTGTTAGTCTATAAGGTGCCACAGGACTCTGTCGCTTTATAAACACTGATATTGATAAATTTAATGAACAAACAGAATTTGTTAAGCCTTTGAACCTGTCTTGTGGTCCTTGTTATATGGCTCATTAGCCTTGCTGTGCTGCATGTGGTAAGAGGGATTTCTTTGGAATGTTTTGCAGGTTGAAAGCACATCAGAGGCTTCACACAGGAAAAACGTTTAACTGTGAAAGCGAAGGCTGCAGTAAATACTTCACAACACTCAGCGATCTGAGGAAGCACATTCGAACACACACAGGAGAAAAGCCATTTAGGTAAGTTGCTAGAGGGCAGTTTCCCCTCTTCTGTGGGGAGAATGGCAGGTGAGTTTGGTAACTGACAGTCTGTGCGAATCAGTGGAGTGACTACAAAGAAGAGGCTTGTTGTAAGAATCTAGAGACAAACTGCATGAAATATTTTCACTTTTAGTCCAGTGAGGGAAGCTAGATACACGAGCATATCTGTACTGCTGCTTTTTCGGTTGGCGAGAAGAGGACGGCGTTGCAGTTGCTTGCACCAAATTACTCTGTTGCCAAATAGATCAGGCTGGCCAAGCTGCCATGAGGAGCAGCACATCTACAAAATCTGTTTTTTCTCTGCTATGGTGGAAAGTGTAATCCATAAAAAATGGTGATCGCAATAAATGGCTTTGTTTACTCTTTTATATTTTGCTGTCGCATTGTAATCTGTGCAGCGTGTGTAGTCAGATACCTCCCAATAGCTACTATTAACAGAGTTTAAATCTGGAGCATCCTGCAATTTAGTCAAGCACCCAATGGGAAGCATGACTTCGCATTATACCTGATATATCCAAGAAGTCTGCTGCTAACTTTTCTCTGTTTGGTGCTTCACTCAGGTGTGATCATGACGGCTGTGGAAAGGCTTTTGCTGCAAGCCACCACCTTAAAACACATGTTAGGACACATACTGGTAAGTCTGGAGGGATCTCTTCTCTAACTGAGCCTCTTTTGTTTATACAAACTTTCATAAGCCTAATAATGCTTATACCTGTAGTCTACAGAGCAGCACAGCAAGGGCATTTAATGGCATGATCTGCCTTTCAGGTTTCAGTTATTTATTTGTTTTATTTATTCAGATGTAAGGAACAATAAAAAAGATGTCAAGGCACCTTGACATTTAATCTTTCAACATCATAATACATCCAGCAGCATTTAATAAAAACAAACTTTCAGATGGGAACAAATTAACTCAACTCAGCCAGCCAGTGAATCCACTACAAAAGACATCTTTCCAGTTCCTGTTGTCTTCTAGAACAAATTCTCAACCTTCTCCAGAAACCATAGCAAATAAACCAGTACTGTACCAAAAGTGGTGAGCAATTAATAATTCATTTAATATTTTAATTAGCTGCCTTTCTTGTTTCCTATCTCAGGGTAGTGAACAATAGAAAAATATCCCTTCAATTTAAATTTGGCAGCTATTGAATTTCACCAGCACATCTCACAAATGCAGCAATAATGACGTGTAAAACTTAAATATTCACCAATTCACTTGACAAATTTGGAAACTTCTATTTCTAAGGCTATTATGCTGCATCCAGGAAGTGACACTAAAGCTGTTAGTAGGCTGTTCAGACGTTCCCACAGGTTCTACATTCATTGTTTACTCTTTTCAGCATAACATTGAGTGTGAGGTTCTTTATATGGTGGAATTCACCTTGGACCATTGTAATGTGGGTATGTTATGGAAATTCTCCCTGAGAGTTGCTGTTGCAAGCTTGTCTCTATGCAGCAACCTGTACAACATTCAAACTTGTGTATGTCTTTATGGGAGGCGATGTTCCTCTTTTCTTACCGAGTTATGGGTGGTTGTGATAATTGGGCCTACAAATTTACCCTAATTTTGAACTCAACTGTAAAAAATGTGTGTAAGTTCATAATATCGTCACAATAACCTATAACAACAAACGTTGATGGGAAAAGGTAGGAAAGGGAGACAGACTGAGTTAGCCCAAACAAAAAGGCCTAATATAATTCAAGGACTGTGTTAAAATGATGCATGGTAAACAAGAAGAGTGTGGAACCTTATTTTGGCTAGTAGGTCTAATTGGTGGACAAAATAACAAGGGGATGCTTTATTCCACGCATCACTCCCTTTTTGAGTCCTTAAAGAAAGAGACTTTGGGGTGAGAAATTGGCTACTGGAGCGAGTGTCACCGTAATGCCTGTGATCCATGTTAAAAGCGACAAAGAGTCCTGTGGCACCTTATAGACTAACAGATGTATTGGAGCATAAGCTTTCATGGGTGAATACCCACTTCGTCAGATGCATGATACCCCTTTGATACTTGTGATCCATGTTGTCTGCTGGAGTCCTGGACCTTTTTCATCCTAAACTTGAGAGATGTCCTGACCAGACTGGGCCTGAGAGAGGGGTACCCAGATGACATCTCCAGCATCTCTGGCTAAAGGCCAAACATCACCTGGGATGTGAGACTCCTCTGCCTGTTCCTTCCCCCACCTTATTTCTTTTCTTTCCTATGTCTATCCTTTTGTCTTCTGTTTAATAAAAGTCTGGCTTAGCCACCCAAGACTGTATATTTTGCAACACTGCTGTGAACCCGTGATCAGAAAAAGGCAGCTAAATGCAATATGCCAAACAGCCTGATGCTGATACAAATTTGCCAGGTCTTAGAGTGGCTGGTAAGATCGTGTGCTATGCCTGTTTTTCAGCAATGAAATTGCAAGTGAAAGTCAACATCAAAGACAAAATCTGTATTTTCTGTTCTTTTCGTTCCCCTTTTATGTGTGTTTGTCTTGTTACGTCTTCTAGGAAACGGAATTGGACTTTAACAACAGCAGCAATAACAACACCTCCAGCCCATGTCAACTAACTTCTTCTCTTTTTCCCAAAAGGACAGTTATTATCATCTTTGATGCCATCTAAGAGACTGTCAAACGGGGGTTTTTCCTTCTAGAAACTCTCTCCAGCTAAAGGGAAAGGGAACAAGGGATGTTGTTAAAATGAAAGCCTTACTTTGTTTCAGATGCTTTAACTGTTTTCCATTATTTTCTGTATCTTTAATAAAATGTTACAAAGGATTGTTAATGGTGTGTTTGCCATGGGAGGACTGAGCAGGCAAAGGTCTCTTTCTACCAAACCTTGTTTAAAACTATTCAGTGTTGGACAGTGACTGGGATATGTTAACACCTTTGGCCTATATATTCCATCTAAAGTAGTACAACGGTGGTTGTAGTGGGAGAAGAGCTGAAGCAGTTAGAGCACTTAAAATACTCTTGCCAGCTTACCGATTTCTTTTCCCATATTTTAACTAGTGCCATATCTTGGAGGATGATTCTGACTTAAGCAAAATGGCGTATTGTAAAGAGATGTCTAAACTTTTGTACAAATCAGTGTGGTGTTTTGTGCTTCTTGTAGGAGAGAGACCCTTCTTCTGTCCCAGTAATGGCTGTGAGAAGACTTTTAGTACTCAGTATAGTCTCAAGAGTCACATGAAAGGTCACGAGAAAGGACACTTATATAATGCACTTCCCAATAACAACGTATCTGAGGTCAGTAGCTTTCTCTTTTTTTCTTTAGAGCTTTTGTGGTAGATTGGAACAAAACCATATTTTGGGGAGAAGTTCCTGAGGCAATAAAGTGTGTGCAACATTGTGCTAAGCCTATTCGGTGCACCGCTCCCACTGGAAATTGGTGGGATTTTGGTGCTTAGCTCCTTCAGGCACCTCTGAAATTCCCAGCCTTAAACTTCAAAATAGATCGTGCCTTATCAAGGAACAAAATCAGGGTGGATTGATTTAAATCAGAGCTGTTTAAGTCACTGATTTTTAGTTATGATTAAAATCAGCAAGCAGGAAACCTTGATTTAAATAATATTTTTAATTGTGGTTTTGCATTTATACTTTTTAGTTATTTTCCTAAATAAAGGTTAATTTTCATTGGTTGGTAACCATTAAAACATGTTGATTTGTAATTAAATATAGCCTTTACACTAAATTGGGGCTTCTTTTTGCAAACTAGAATATGGTATATGTGTAAAAAGGAACAGAGAGTCCTGTGGCACCTTATAGACTAACAGATGTATTGGAGCATAAGCTTTCATGGGTGTACACATTTGTTTATGTAATTATATATAGCTTAACCTACATTTATTCAAATTCTTTATTTTTTATTTTTTAATTTAGGATGTGGTGGCTTTTGCATTTCATATTTTCTAGATTAATTTTTACTTGTGATTTGTGTCACGCTTTTCATAGATTCATAGATTCTACGACTGGAAGGGACCTCGAGAGGTCATCGAGTCCAGTCCTCTGCCCGCATGGCAGGACCAAATACTGTCATCCCTGATAGACATTTATCTAACCTACTCTTAAATATCTCCAGAGATGGAGATTCCACAACCTCCCTAGGCAATTTATTCCAGTGTTTAACCACCCTGACAGTTAGGAACTTTTTCCTAATGTCCAACCTAGACCTCCCTTGCTGCAGTTTAAGCCCATTGCTTCTTGTTCTATCCTTAGAGGCTAAGGTGAACAAGTTTTCTCCCTCCTCCTTATGACACCCTTTTAAATACCTGAAAACTGCTATCATGTCCCCTCTCAGTCTTCTCTTTTCCAAACTAAACAAACCCAATTCTTTCAGGGTTTGAATTGAAATTCAAATTCAATTAAAAATGCAAAAAAGCAGCATTTTAATTTTTTTATTTAATAAAACTACCTTAAATGCACTTGAAACATAAACAAAGTGTATCAAAAAAATTGCCAAATATATTTTGCGTTTAAAATGAACTGATTTATTAAACAAAGGAAATATTATCTGTAGTTAGTGAATTAAACTGATTGTTTCTGGTCACCATGTCCTTCAAGATTTTAGACTGAATAGACCTCATTGTCTCACACCTAGTTTTTATTCATAGATTGAAAGAGGAAAACAAGGTTTCCTGCTTTTTCAACTCCTAATTGGTTTCTTAACTTTGAATCAGTCATTGAACTGATATAGTTGAATACATTGAGGTGAAGAAAACATTCTCTGTACCAGCAGAAGAGGCTACTGCTGTCAAAAGCTGGTTTAACACTTCAGCAAACTCTGATTCCAGGTGCTTAGCCAGTGACTTTCACTAGTTCAGTGGCTTGGACTTTCTTTAAAACTTGGCAGGAAATATGTACTAAAATATTATTTATTGTATTCAATTTAAATTATAAGAAGTTTTGGCTTTGAGATAAGTTGTCAGTTTCAGATTTAATTTTAATAGATTTATTTTTTAAATATTTAATTTAAATAAAAAAATAAAAATCTATTTTTTATCTTTTTTAAATCACTGATTTTATCTACCCTGAACAAAATAGCCTGACAAGCTGTGTAGATGCCTGTACCTCTAAAGAAAGTGATCTAAAATACTGTGGAATGTCCAGTATTGCTGACACTGATTTAAATACATAACTGCAGTTGTATTCCTCTTCAGGATACAAACCACTCACTTTGTCTGAGCGACTTAAGCCTCATATCCACAGATTCGGAACTGCGGGAAAACTCTAATACAGTAAGTAACCATGCCTCTCCCATAATTTGAGATTTTGTCTTTATTATAGAGTGTTTGCCCCATCCAGAGGAATACAGGGTTTAAGTATTAAAAACTGGTTGGTTTTGTTTCACTTGCTCTGTCCTTTGGCATTATCTGCTTTTGGTCCCCATTTTGTTCCTGTTGTCTGGGCGTGGCCTCTCTAGTGAGAGGGGCATTGCAACGACTTACTCTAGGAATGATACCAGTGCAGTTCAGTGGATTTTTTTGGCAGAATGCATTACGTCATGTGCTGACAAATGCATGCACTTCCTACACAGCCCTTCTGATTCCTTTCCTACAGTTGGATTTCACCATCTGTCATTATGAAATATTGCTGCAGTCCTATTGGGTGAATTTGGCATATACAATGCATCTGATTCTGACTACTGAGGCAGAGGCCGGTAATTGTAATACTACATATGATTTTAACTTTTTCTTCACAATATTGTTTCTGTTAAACGGGGACAATTCCTTTAAAAGCAAAGCAATCCTAGTGTTCTGTTTCAGTGAATTAGTAACATTTTATGTGGGCAGAAGTAAATTAGGTTGGATACAACAATGTAGAAATAATTTCATTTTAAGTCACTTGAGAGCCAGAGATCTAACTCTGACCAGCTCTGAGCTGTTTGGTTAACGGTAGCTGGATAGTTTGTGAAATGGGTAACCTGTTTATATATCTACACATTGTATGCTCTTTGCTCTGGTTTGCGGGAATCTGTGTCTAGGGAAGAACCCATTGCAAAGACTTCAGGCAGAAATAGATAGAAGAAAACATTAAATCGAGCTTGTCCTTTTGGCACTTGCAGCTAGTTAAGAGCCTTATGCTGGAGTCAGAATTAGCACCATTTGCTTGTACTGCCGTAGTCTCTATCATTTGGCTTTTCCCTCCCCAGCCATTTCTGTAACTTGCATTTTGCATCTATTGGTGGAATCGTATACTAAGGCTATAACTGGCTGTGACACAATCACTTAATTAGGTTGCCTCCAGGTGTTGCTGAAAGAGATTGCATCCTTTTGCAAGTTTATCTGGGAAGAGACTTGTAGGTGCTTGTAGAAGTCTGTGCAGGAAGTAATTCCACCTTGCTGGCATCTCAAGCACAGACTTTTGGTTGTTTGTTGTAAATGTCCCTGTAACCTGAAAACAGACTTTCTAATTCAGCAGAGTGAAAAGGAAGGATTTTTCTCTGGAACTAGCAGTGTTCCTTTAAACTCTAACCTTATGGCAAAACGGTTCCCATCTAGTGGGGAATGTGGCCATAACTAAATCTTGCATAGAGAAGAATTAGACACTATTGAGGGGCTGGTATCTTTTAGTGGCGCTGGCTCCTGGAGCCATTTAACAAATCCTGTTCCAAGAACAGTTCTGACATTACAGGTAACACTGGTGCACAGACTAGGAGATAAACTAAGCAGAGCCATGAAGGCTTGTGCATAAGAAAGTTTCCCAAATGATAGGGGTAAAACTGATATAAACAATTCTAATGTTTCAGATTCTACCCAAGTATTACAAACAACAAGGGGTTAAAATGAAATACAGCTACAGAAGAATAGTTAAGTGTCCTTTTAAGGGGTTTGTTAAGTTCAGGGTTATGCTAAAGTTCTCTATAAAGGCTTGTTCATTTGATTGGTGAATTTGCATCGTGGCTAATGCTAGCTAACTAGCATCTTTCATGCTGTGTGCTAGTTGCATAAAGTACAAAGTACCCTGCCCTTTTTGAGGGTGGCCCATTAAAATAACTGAGCAAACGATTGCAACATACATATGCTAGATGACTGGCATTTATGCAAATAGTTTAAGATTGGGGAGCTGTTGTTATCTAACACTTCTCTCTCCTTTTTCTCCTCCCCAGACACATGGACGAGATCTTAGCACAATCTCACCAGCAAGCATTTTTGAATCTATGTTCCAGAGCCCAGATCATACAGCAAATCAGGAAGATTCTCAACAGACAGGTACACTTTGTATCTGTGCAATTTGAGAGACCTTCCCGCCTATCCGTGCAGACAGCTAATTCCATTTATGCGTCTCAGACTGAGAATTATTGCCTAGTGGATAATATAAAGCCTTAGTAGAAACCAGACAGGTGTCTCTTTGAAAGGGCTGGTGGGGAGCATCGCCAGTTTAATTTATTTTGATTTTTAAAGTAAATAGTATTCATAGTCTATGGAGTGTTGGGACAGTGTCACTAGAACTGAGATCATGTTTGCAGCAGCTTTGTGTGTCATCCTATGGCACTGAAAATGGTGCTGCTGGGCTTATGTTCCTTATAAACTCCTCTGTAGTAGGTTTCCTCTTGGAGCAGGCATTTATGGCTGAATGAATGAAACCATCTGTAGAAGGGAGTTTATAATAGAAATACTTTCAGCTCCTGAGAGCTAATGGCTCTAACAGGAGTACAGTGTTATTGGCTTCCTAAATTTAGATATAGAAAGGTCCCTGTCCTGGCTACCTAAAATGTCCCTATTTCATTGGCTTGCGTTAATGAGTTTTGTACAGGGCTTTGACTATGAAAAGCATTGTTATTGGCATTTTATTAGCTAGAGGGCAAGTTAGCCTTAGTTTCTCAAGGTTCAGTGAATAGCAGTTTTTCTAGACCATGTGAGACTTGGTGTATTCATATTTCTTCTTTACTTTGTTTCCTTTGGCAGCTGCCTTGATTGAAAGTTTTAACGGTGATGCAGACTCAGTAACTACTGTTCAGCCTTCTGTAGGAGATTCAGCATCTTTATCTCTCCCACTTGTACTGCAGCTTGGCATCTCCGAGCCTTCTCACCCAGCACTACAAACCTCCGCACCCCCTCCAGCTCCCACCTCCATAGGAACCAGTTCACAGCAAGCTGCGTTTGGAAATCCTGCGACTATTTTACAGTCCCCAGAAGTGCCTGTTCCTCACAGCACACAGTTTGCAGCCAGTCACCAAGACTTTCTGCCGCACACTCAGACACCACCACAGCCCATTGTACAAGGACTTTCAGTGGTTGCCGGAGCCTCTGCTCCAGCAGCATCGAGTGCCACTGAGCCTCTGCCGGCTGTGGTTCAGTCTGTGCCTGTGGGTGCGAACTCTGTTCTGACAAGTAACCCGACTATAACAATTACTCCATCTCAGAGCACTGCTATTCTGCAGTCCAGCATAGTCATGGGAGAACAGAACTTACAATGGATTTTAAATGGTGCCAATGGATCTCCCCAAAATCAAGAACAAATGGTTAGTATTTACCATAACATTGCTGAAAGACTGTTCAAAACATTCATGTTCCTCACATAGTGCAGGGGGCTGTTTTTTAATAGAAAAATGTCTAACTTTAGTATATTGGAGAGGTACAGGATTCAATCCCATCCCAGGTGTGTCTGCTTCAGTTTTGGGTAGTGGTGATGTGAATGGCTCTGTACAGATCACAAATTGACAATCCCTGCCCTGAAGAACTGAAAAGGTGGTTACGAAGGAGAAAATGTCTGGAAAATCCAGAGATGAGGAAGATTTAGTGGGTTGTTTTCTTCTTCTTATTGTCTGACAAACTCCCTTGTATAGGCCTCACAGAGGACGTGGACTTGCTTCACCTGGGGCATTGCAGTGTGAGGCCTGAGAGTAACTTGTATTTAATTGTTTTATATCCATCTTTGTGACAAAATAGAAGCACAAAACCTCTATAGTGTTTTCAGCATTGAGGCATTTTATAGTCTATACAGTTCTGTAGCTTAATCCTATTGCCTCATAAATCGGAGGAGCCTTGTATATAAGGATAACGAAAAATCTTCTGCAAAACAAGGATGTGTCTGATGCTAAGTGGATCTGTGTGTTTGAGACCTCCAGAATAGTTTGTGTTATTCTTTTAAGTAGTGAGCCAATGCCATCTGAAAAGCTTCCCCTGTTGTGAATGCCAACAAATAAAGAGCCATTGATATGAACGCTCTGGAAAAGATGGATTATTGGTTAAGTATTAATTAATTTTGTTGGAAGTGTGAACAATGTGTGTTGGCAAATCCACAGCACCTCAGTTCAGCATCTCAGGACTACCTATGTCATTGTCTCAGTTTTGTGATATCCAGAACATGGAAGTCCCCATATCAAACCAAACTACTTAATTTGTAATCCAGTTTTCCAGTCATTTCTCTGGGATACACATTTCTCTTGCTAACAGCTGTTTGGAGTTTGCTGTTGCTTAATGGAGATCTGATTTTAACTGCATCAAATGTGTTTTTATTTTTTTAAAGCCACAAGTTCCAAAGGTGGAGAAGGTCTTTTTTACCACCACATTACCAGTGGCTGGCAACACAGGTATGTGCATTTGAAATGCAACTTCTTACCCTTTTATAGCCTGGTGACATTCCCTTGGTAATAGGTGACATCTCCTTGAATAGTACTTGTTGGGGTGTTTTAATTGATAGTTAAAAAGTCCAAGAAAACCTTTCAGCTTTTTACACTCTTAAAAGGCACTGGTTTAAGCCTAGTTCACTTTAGACTCATGTTTGACCTTATTGGGGGTACTTGCATTATAACATTAAGAAGGAAACAAAGATAATACTGAAGGTATTGGGGAGAAATTTGCAAAATATATTGTCTTGATTAGTTATCTCTTTTATTAAAAATCATATGGTATTCTAATGTTATGTGTGTATGAGATGAAAAAGTCAAAGTAGCTCCTTTAAGTTAGATAATTAATGTATTCACTGAGATTTTAGAGCACTTCCAACCTTAAATCCTTACATGAGGGGAGAGGGAGCAGCTGATAATTTACATTGTTTAATCCATCCAGCACCAACCATTTGTTGGCTGACCACCTCTCTGAGCTGCATCTAATAAAATATACAGTCACAGATATTTTGTTTTTATCTGGCATCTTTCATACACAGTATCAGATGCTTCACAAAGTCAGTCGTAGGCTAAAGAGGCTTGAAGATGAGATTTAAAAAGAGGAAAGGAGACTGTGTTAAATAAACGGAGGAGCACAAGTGAAAGAACCCTCCCTGCAGTCACTAGCAGGAAAGCAGAGCAAAGAGAATGAATAGGAAGATAGCTGACTTTGAGGTGATGAGAAAGGGAGGCTGGTGTGAGGCCATAGTACCATCCCTTGGGATTGTCTCTGCTTTAAAGGGACAGAGGCATTTAAACAGAAAAGGGCTTTAATTTTTAAACACCACTCTGCTTAAACCCCTTAAAGCTGGTTTAAAACATTAAGTTGGCACTCGGGTAGCTGGTGCTGAGTGCTGTATAAAATCTAGATATTGACACTGGGACTTCTAAACACCAGTGTCACAGAACAGGTAACCTTTCCACTGAACGGGTTCTCCTGGCCATCGGCTGGGAAACACCAATGTTCTTGTGAAATGCCACACAGGAACTGAGCAAGGTAAGCAACGCTCGCTGTGTGAGCTGTGGAATGGCCCCACGTCATCCTGTGACTTTGGGTCAAGTCCTGTATTATAAGAGGAGGAGTTAATGACTGAAACCTAGGCAGGCTGAATGTTGCTCCTCTACTTAGTAGTAACTAGCTGCAAAGAGCTTGGCGTGTTCATGTGATCAGTGCTGAGCTAATGCATCTTGACACAGCTCTGACTACCTGTTACCTTCATTGCCTCTTATAGGGCTGAGCAGATTTATAGTTACGTGCTTTAGCTCAGAGTCAGGTTAATGGCGACTTGGGCTTCCGCAGTTCCCCTAGCTTTGAGTTAGGGTTATTGGAAATGCTGTTTCCCTTTTTCTGGATCTCGTTGTTTGTTGTTGTTGTTGATATGATGCCATAGGCATGCATGTTACTTGAGACAAACAAAAATGAAAGTTTCTTGCTATGAGGAGCTTACATCTGAATTAAACCTAAAAGATTACTTGTGTCTCACTGCACTGAGACTATGCAGTTCTCTCACTTCTGCGCCTATTTGTTTCTATTTCACCTTCAGGAAACTCTGTTCAGCAGATTGGTCTCAGCGTTCCTGTTATCATCATAAAGCAAGAGGAGGCCTGCCAGTGTCAGTGTGCCTGCCGAGACTCTGCCAAGGAGAAAGCAACTAGTAAGAAGGGATGTTCCTCGCCTGACCCGAAAACTTTGGAGCAGCCAACTCTTCAGCTGCAGCCTCAGACTTTTCCTTCCTCCTCCTCCTCTTCTTCCTGTGAGCCCACCGGTCAGATGGCCAACCCTTCCGACTCACAGACTGAAACATTAAGTGCCATAGATGTATCAGACTTCCTGTCCCTCCAAAGCCCTGAAACCCCATCCAATCTGATTCCAATTGAAGCACTACTACAGGGGGAGGAAGAAATTGGTTTGAATAGCAGCTTCTCCAAGTAAAGATGCTCCAGATTCTTCTTCCTTGCACCTGGAGGCTAAAATCCTCCTCCTTAGAAGCAGACACTGAAGGCTCAAGAGTTTTTTCTTTTTTTGAAGTTTTGTGGCCTACTTCTGCTTCTCGGATGTCATTTTAGTCACGTCCCAGGAACATCCATCTTTGGGAGTTGAATCTTTAAAGAAAAAAAAAAAGATAAAAAAAAGCTAAGTTATATATGAACTGTTTTGGCTGCACTGTCTGTCACTTTTGCTTGTTGTCATATGTGAACATGGAAGTTAAGGTTACTCGTCTGCATAAAGATTATAAAAAGAAAGGGGGTTTTAGTTTCAGTCAGTCTCCTGTTGCACATCATTTTATGTTTGGGGTTTTTGGTACTGGCAGCGAGTGGGTCTTTTGTTACAACTTCTTGGGTCTGTAATCTCCTTTTGTCTCCTTCTGTGTCTGATACTGACCATGCACTATAGTAGAGGCCCAGAGAATGACGTTTCTCTAGCAGAAGATGGTATTATTGTAGTAGGAGTTGTCTGATCTGGAGCTTTTCTGGAGTGATACTTTAAGATGCTTTTGTAATCATGGGATACTTGTCCCATCACCCCATTAGTGGGAGGAGTTGGCTGTTTGTATGATGCTAACACTAATAGCAAAGCCAACTGAAACCTTTGGGGAGTTCCTAAAGAAGAGCATGAGGTACTTGTGCTCCTGCTGTGTTCATTCATTTGATTTAAATCAGGGCAGAGAGTACATTTCAGGTCCATTGCTTCCTAATTTAGAAATGTGGTCAGAGCCTCTGCCTATGTAGAACCTGCTCTGCTTGCCTCTTCTTGCAGAATGCAGTGGGTTTCACATGTGGTGATATTGGTGCCTGTTGTTGTTTTGACCAATCTGATCAACATCTGACTTTCTGTAGAAACATGAGTCAGGCTTTAAAAATCCACATCAAATTCATCAGGAGCGCAACAACTTTGCAGGTAAATCTCTTCCTTTGTTGACGATGATTCCTTGTCAGCATATAGTAAACTAGAATTCAGTGAGCATGTCCTGTAACAGTCCAGAAATGCTTCCTCTTTTCTGTTAAACTCTATAATCCCTGCCTGAATCTGCCTCCAACCTGCTGTAATGTCAGCTCTCTGTGCATGGGGCTATTTCTTGACTAAAATGCATTACACAACTTAGTAGTTTTTCATATCAAGCTGAAACTCTATATTCTAACTGACTCAGGGTAAAAAAAAACCACAAACTCCCCTTCCACCAAAAAGCCTGTAATGTTGCAATAAATGCAGTCTCATTTTAAGTGGTTTATTTATGCTGCATTATTTTAAAAGATGTAATTTTATAGTATTTTATCCATCTGTCTGGCTTTGGCTGTGAGTCTTTTTGTGTTGAAGGAAAGAATATTAAATAGTCTTTATTCAGTTTACGGTGTTAGGTGTAGTGATATGACCATAAGCCAAATAATGCTGAGCAACTGTGTTCATTAGATTTAAGGATGCAAACTCCTGGAAGGTGGAGGCCTTTCCCTTCTCTCCCTTCGGTTTTCTTCCTGTTTACTCACATCTTATCAAAGCTGTGCTCAGCATCTGTTCTTGGGGAGGATCCTGATAGAGCAGCCAAACCTTCCTTCTTAATATACTACATTGAGGTGTCGGCTTCTAAAACCCTCCAGAGAGCTGTGTAGCCTTACCAACATCTGGCATATTCTTAGGCTGGGACAATGACTTCATCTCTCGTTCTGTCCAATTGCAAACTCACTGCCTAGGTGCAGACAGAATGAATGTAAGGGGGCAGGCTTTCAGGCAGTCTGGAGCTCTCCCCCAGTTATACACTGTGGGAGGATGAAGGCATGGGGCAGTGAAATGGGTGACTTGTGACTGTGAAGAGCAGTGACAATACTAGAACAGTACACTCTGTCCTGGGTCGCCTACTGACAAGGGCTCATGGGACGGTAATAGGACTGGAAATTCCCTGGCTGCTTTTCCTTTCCTGCAAGTGTTGGCTCCTAGTGCAGTAGTGTGGGATGTACCGCGGGGTCGGCGTGCGTATGGGTTCCTCGTACTGTTGCTGTAGCACTAAGATTTGCATCTGTCAAATATGAACTAGCAAAGCATTGCAGTGTTTTCTTCTCTCTGTGACACCACCCCACCCTGCTGGGCAGTACTGCAAAGGGATTGACTTGGGCTGGCATCTCACAGCCTTCGCTCGGGGCACAGGCAGGCCAGCAGCAGTGAGGGTGGCTGTTGAACACACATGAAATAGGCTTGAATCTGTTTAGCTGAGAATGCCTTTGCAAGAACTTCTGACAATTGTCCAGTTTCAAATTCTGCTTTGAAGTTGCGTGGAAGTGGGAGGTATGGGGTCAGGGCAGCAATCTGGCAGCAGTGGGGCACTTGCACCTTTGTCTCTGGCTCTGCTTAGGTATTTGGCTTTTTAAAAAGCGTTTGAGAGAGAGAGTGAGTGTCAGTGAGAGAAAGTAAAAGTGTAAAATCCCAGGTCCTGCTGGGGTCATGGGAGTTTTGCCATTGAGTGCAGAAGGACCAGGATTTGGCCCTAGATCTGAAACCTTGGGCACCTGACGGACTTGGTGGCCCTTCCTTCAGGGACACTGGGTGTGCAGTTACTCGCGTGTGTGAATATGTGCATCCGACCTGGGGTGGTTCGGGAATGGTCTAGAATAGTCTCCGTTTAGGTCAGGCTAAGAAGGGCTCCAAGGACGGCAGAGTAGTTGGGTTTCATCAGCACCTGGCCTGTCCCAGCACAAAGACACGTGTCCCTTAGGCAGCTGTTTTGTTAATGTTCTTTGCTTTTTTGACTTGTGCTCTGTTTGTCTGAATGTTAAATTATGCTGCATGTGTCTAAGCACTCCCAGCGCCCTGCCCTGCCCCGCCGGCTCTGGTACTGCCCGAGACGCTGCACAGTCAAAAGCCGTGCCCAGCTGAGGGTATCACCTGCAGACTGGTGGAGGAGCCTGCGAGTGCCTGGCAGGGAAGCGCAGTCTTTGCAGTTACAGCTGAGCCGTCAGAGCCCGTGACCCCAGGGCAGCTGGAGGCTTTTCCCTGACTCAATAAATTCACAGCAGTATGACAAAAGGAAGGGAAAGTTTCTACCTTTTGAGACCTGCAAATGCCAGGTGTGACCTCAGACTCTGAGAGGAGTATGCGCTGTCAGGCCCCTGAGATTGTTGTGAACGCCCTGTACAACGTATACAATTTGTGAATTCTTTTCCATATCAGTCTTCACAGCAGAACTGCACTGCTCCACATAGCTCTGTGTTTAAGCATTTGCTGTTCGATGGCTAATGGAGGTTTACTTGGTTCCTATGGCTTCTAGATGGACACAAAACCTAAGTAGAGAACTGATCTAAATACCAACATTGGTAGCTCTGGAAGGCAAGTAAGTAACCCCAGTGATCTGACTGAACATGCAGCTGGAGGTAGGAGAACTCACTCTTCATGCTTGTAGATGGTAGAGGCTCCTAGGGACAGAAAGTCAGCATTTGTTCAGGGCTGGTACTGAATTACATAGAACAATGTACAAATTGGGGACTTCTGTAATGCTGACTGTGTCCAGAAAGACTAGTTTGCAGAACCTCATACCAGTATCTAAAATGCACTTTAGGTTATTTTATCTTTAACCCAATTGCTGCAATTTCTTTTGTATATACTTTCAGAAAGTTTATTTTTGCTCTGATTAAAAGTTAACAGGGGTGTGCAAAGATGAGCACTTATCTTGGTGCAATACTTGTCGCTAAAGATCATTGTCCCATGTGGTTGGTCTATGTCTGTCTAACTGAATTTGTGTAGTAACTAGCTCAGTGGCCTATCGCCCTACCCTGTCTACACACACACACACAATTATGCATCCTTAGCAAATGTCCAATCTATGCAAAACTTCCACTGAGAGCACGGTGCTTTAGCAGGCCTGTCCTCTCAAGCTTTCTGATAAGCTGCTTGTCACTTCGGTTAGAAGTAATAGGTTGTTTTTATTTGTTGTGTTCATCTGTATGTCCCCCCCAATCTTATTTCAGAATGAACATGAACAGACATGACAAACTGTTCCTAGACAGGCATGTTGCACCTTTTAGAGTTTGTCTTCACAATCATTTTCGATGTCATGTTATCTGCCTTACTTCGCTGAGAATAACTCTCCAGCAGAATCATCAAATATTGTTTTTGCAACTGCAGCAACATTGTTAACCTGTTTACAATACTCTTCCTGTACCAGTTAGAAGCAAGCATTGGCAAATGAACTCCTGGCTGGCCTGAGGGTCTGGAACTGCTTGAGGGAGGGGGCACTGTTAATTTAAGGTATAATTGGCCTCGGAGCTCATAGGAGATGGAAAAACTAGTCTCTTATGGACAATATTATGCAGGTGGAAACTGAAATGGGAGGCAGCACAGTCCATTGTATAGGGCAGTGGATTGGGAGCCAGGTAACCTAGTCCTGACTCTGCCACTGACTGGCTGTGTGACCATGGGCAAGTCACTTAACCTCTCTCTACCTCAGTTTCCCTCATCCATAAAATGAGGCGAGTGATGCTCATTCACTGTTGTAAATGCTCTGAGGTGTACGAATGAAAAGGGCGAAGTGCGGAGTATTACCAATACGAGCTAGCTGGGCAGAGCAGTTAATAATTAGAGTCAATTGGGCTTTGAGGCAAAAATAACCATTTCTTTAACACAACACATTTCTGATTGCATTGTTTTTAATTGTATTTTTCCTCAATATATTTTGGAAACAATGTCGAGTTTTTATAAATGTTACTGTAGTCATTACTCATGGACAGGGCTGAACTTTTAACTTTTTTGCATCGTCTTGATATAAATCATATGTTCTAGAAGTTGGATTCTATGTCTGCACTGAGAAATGCAAACTAAACTGGATATTTATGTAGTAGCATACATAGTCTAAATGTGTGTGTTCTTGGAACTAGTTTAAAAATCCCACACCATGCTTTTGATGGTGTGCAAGCTGGCCAAAATTTGGTTCATTATGCAGTGTACACTTTCTCAACTAAATGCAGTTTCTACTTTTTCTTACAATAAATTTTTTTCATATGATCTTTTTCAGCAAAATCAAGGGTATGTTTTTGCAGTATCGTAGCTACAGTAGCTGGCATTCAAAGGTTTTCCTTGCTCTGTAGCTTTGTGTCCTTCCACCTGCTTATAAAGTGAAGCTATTCACTTGATCCTTATTTTGAAGAGAAAATAATAGCTGACATTTTGCTTTATTTACACAGACTAGCATCAGTTAGGAGGGCAGGTAGCTGCTGGTTAGTTATTGAGCATTTGCTTCAGCATTGATCGCTGCATAATCTTCAGACCAGCAAATCTAGGAAGAGTTTAGGATGTTTATTTACTGCTTGTGTTTTACACGTGCTGGGAGCCGGGCAATGGTCTTGGAGATGATTTTAAAAAACAAACACATCAATTTCTCAAGTGTGTGTGTATGGTATTAAAGGAATTTATTTAACTATGAAACATGGGAACAAATGTACTTGCATTGAGCAACATGAAGATGTTAGTTACAGGTACAGTACTTCCAAAGGAAGAGCATCTCCAAAACCCAAAAAAGAGTAAATATGAATTTGTATTTTTGAAGAATGTAAAATGTGAAATAATGGTGTTTGCTTAATTGCTCATTTTGTATAAAGTTAATATTGTACTTTGAAATATCTGCTAAGAAGTGGAAATTAACATTTTTTGGAATTGAAAGCAATATTAATACTAATGGAATCCTAATTAAATGCTTATTTAAACATTGTGGTACTGGAGTCATTCCTCAAGGATTGATCAGTTTCTTTGGAATGTGAGTCTGAGCACTTTGCTCTCCTTTCCATCAGAACAGGGCACTGAGACTTTGGAGTTTGAGAGAGAATAGTTTTCCTATGCAGTTGGATTTCTTTTTTCCCCCCACATACTAAAGTTTTTGGATCCACGACCTTCATGTTCATAAAGGTACTTTCCGACATGTGGAACGGTGGAATGGTTTAAGATGCATGCAAAGGAGTAAGACCAGCTGTTGTAAATACTTATGCTGTATACTACTTCCCCCCAAAATAATCATAAGGGACAGTGTTCATCCAAAGACCCCAGAGTACCTCATAGACTCAGCATAGAGGGATCACTTCATTCACCCCTGAAATGCAGCAGTTGTTCAGCAGTGCACACCCCCACCTTCCAGGAATTGAGGAATGAATATCTTCATCCATTTGAAACTGCAGAGGGAATGAGGAAGGTAAAATAGAATTGTTCTGTAGGGCACTCATTTTAGTATTACTGGTTAAAGGTGCTTACGTAAGTAGTATAAGGAGCATAAGTAGCAATAAAAGTAGAACAAGAGGCAAGTGATAAGGAGAATGGATTGGCCAATACACAACCAGCCATGGCACAAAGAATTTTAAACAAAGTGAGCTTGGAAAATAAGATTGCCTTTCTTAGAATTTCAGGTACATAAGAGGATCTAGACTGGGCGGGGGACGACACTTTTTGGTCCAAGGGCCACATCTGGGAATAGAAATAGTATGGCAGGCCATGAATGCTCACAAAATTGGGGTTGGGGTG